TGATCAGCTTAGTAGTATGAAGGAAAATTCTTACTACTGCTAAATCCTGAGAGATAATGACTACCCTACGCCTACTCTCTTAATGGAAGACAACAATTGAGGTCAAACCATCCCTTGACTGAACCCATTTTCACAAGATACGTTTGACTTCTCTTCCTTCCATGGACACAGTCTAATCCTGGCCAAAATCTAAAGGAAGGATGACACAGACCCACATTCTTGTCACCCATCTGGAGGCAAACTATCCGTCATTTGTTACCACAGAAGGAAGAAGAGCTGCAGATTCACAGTGGGCCAAGTGGCAGCTACCATAGCTGGAAAGGGACCGTGGAAAGTTGGGGGAAATGGCGACAGAAGCTGTAGGGGAAAAGGAAACTGGGGAGAGAAGGCACGGCAGAGGAGGGGTGAGGAAGCAGAGACAGGAAGGAGAATAGTCCAGGAAGGAGAATAGTCCAGAGAGGGACGTACATAGGTGTCATAATGTTTCTCTAGGGTTCTGATATCATCACTTTTTTCTGGATAATTCCTTCAGGAAAGAATTTCTGCAGGGATGTCCATTGTAGAGTTTTCCTATAGCCATCACAACTATCCCCCTGAAGTTATGCCTCCCTGGCAGTTTCCTACATACCAGATATCTAGAATGCCCAAATAAGAAGCCAGGACCATCCAAAATGAAGGGCTAAACAACATTAGGACCTACAAACTCCAGTGTCACAAGCACTGCTTGTACAATGATACAATTCTAACAGCTCCTGTTTACGAGGTTAAAGGAATAATGATTCATGGGACTGGCTGACACCTTGAATGATTTAATCAGGCCATCTCTAATGTAGATGACTGACTCACATTTCCAGATGTAGGTGGAACTGGCAGTTGTCTTTTCCTCATAATTGTCTTAACTTGCTTTGCTAGTTAGAAATAGTTTTCTAGGTTATATTTCCAACCTGGTAATCATTAGAGGTACATTCTTTACATAGATGTCTGTATTTATAGTCAATGGGAACATCTAGGACAGAATTTGACCTACAAACTTAAATACGTACAAGCAGCCTAGATAGAAAAATTTGTACTTCAGTCTGAGCCAGAACTAAAGAAGACTGCTTCATATATATGTATATACACAAAATTTAAAATACAAATGCACAGATTGAGGAAGGCAAGATTTTTGTGGGTTCCCCACACACACATACCCCTTAGGTATTTCTGATTGCTTTCCTTTAAGTAGTCTTTACATTAAATTTAATACAGTAGCATTCTCATAGACAATGAAGGGGAAAAAACTTTAAATATTAAGAATGAAAAAGTGTTGGAATTTTCTAAAAAGTTTGACAGAAAATAGTATATGGAAAGGGAGAAAATGATGAAGTACTAGTTATCCCCCACTGTTTTTTCATGCAGCTGTGTTTAGAACCTTTGTCTCTTCTTTGTTTCTCCCCCTACTTTTCCTTTCATCCAAAAAGTGCTTAGATCACGTGCCTTTCTCTGACTGTCTTTTCTTTCCCAAAGCATGGACTTACTCCAGACCCTTGCAATTAAACAATACTCCGTGATGTTAAAGTGACGCAAGCCGACCGTAGTTAAGCTGACTGCAGTGGAATGTCATGACTTTGACCAAAAAGATTTGACCCAATTGCTGTGACCTGACATACCTGCAATCTAGTATAATCTGAATTCTCAAAGCAATAGCCCCTGAAACCACTAGAGACTTACGTGAAATCTGGAACCAAGCAGAACAAGACTGAGTTAAACCCAGGAGAAAGGCACTCCAAAAAACTGTAATTATATTACATGGTTTTGAATACATGCTTACTTTGCTTGTCAGAGCACATTGAGTGAGACGTGACCATGCTTTTTAAGAACAGAAGTCTTAATCCAGGAGGAAGTGACAGAGCTGACTCTATCCTCTTCTGAATATATATTCAAATATTAGAGGCATAATGCAGTCTGTGTGCTGACTGATCAGTACATAGCTAAGCTCCACTGCAGTGTGAAGTGGTGGTAAGGCAATATGCAGTGCCTGAACAGATCAATGCAGTGTTCCACGATTCTGCCCATAACAGTGAGCGGTTGCACTGCAGTAGCTGAGACAGCTACAGAGGAAGGTAAGGAAACATTTAATGTGGTCAGTCTTTGTGCTTAAGAACCCTATCTGGAAATGTTATGCAGCAAGGGTTTTTTTCAGGTGATTTTGCAACATTCATAATATAAGGAACTCATGGTTTTGCTTTTTTCCGCTTGTACAGAATCTACAGAACAGCCTTTAAAATCTTCTTCCCCACCCCTTTAAATACCAAAGCAACATTTCCTTGCTCCATTAGCACCATTGGGTGAACCGTTGCACTGACATGGAACATGTGCACCTGTACATTACTGCAATCATACTGAAAGTCACAATATTTATTCTTTGGAAGTCAAACAACACGTAGAAGATAAAGCAAGAAAAATGGTCTAAGTGTCAAATCTCACTAAAAACAAGCAAACCTCGCAAGCCCCCTCCAAAAGACCACTCTACACAGCATTGCTCATTGGCTTTGTTTGTAAAAGCTCCTGAAAGCTGCATGCATAAACTTAGGAAATATCACACCATAATAGTCCAGGATCTCATCTAGTGTAGATTCTCAGCTCCATATAGGGCTACACTATATTCTTGCATGGATGCCATTCAGAATCCCGCACAATTTTTGGCCTTGTTTTGCCATTCTGTCAGTACCACTTTTCTGCTCTTGATGCTGGAAGACTTCCTGACTTGCAATATGAACACAGAACAGCTGTAGAAGATCATAACAAATTCCATTTAGCTCTGTATCCCATCACAGACAGCAGCCTGCAGGGATGCTGAGGAAGTGGTAGCACTCAGTCTCTAGGTCTAGGGCCTGCTTGATTCTTAAAAAAATCACCCACATCTTATCTATTTTCGTCTCCTCAACAGTTGTTCACTACCACTGAGAACCAGAATTCCTAAACTGAAATCAAATAATGTCCTATTTTGGGGAAAAAATAATTATCCAAATGCAAGAATATTCCTTATAAATCTCAGCAGCTCAATGCTTTTATTTGAAAAGAGGAGGCATGGATAACCATATGATCCAGTTTTGCAAGCTATGATCTAGAACCAGACTTAAAATTAACCACTTGGGGACTATCTATGAGGCCAACTGTCAGATTACTCTGTAAATTGCTATCTATTCCAAGTTAATTGCTTGTGTGTAGATATAAGTAAACATGCACTACCCAGTGCAGTGATGAATGGTGACTAAATGTACCTGGTGAATTCAGTCCTGAATACTTTTTTCTAATAAAATCCTTTGTTCTGTCAGCAAGTTCCAGGAAGTAAGTTCTATACTTCAAAGTAGTCAAAACGTGTTATTATGACTCTGTATTAACTATTTTTTTCCCAGAATACTGTCTTCTATGGTCTTAGGAGATAAAGCTACACCTCCAGTGGAAAAGTGAACTCAAACAAGAAGGTGAGCTTTGCGGTGACTACCATTATTGATAATCCAAAAGAAGTTCTTTCAGGTAATACTCTTAACCAGACTAGTCTGATAACCTAGTGTTCAGAATAAACACATAATTCTCTCCAGCAGTGACTAGCATGCAAGCAGGGAGAAGAATCAGAACAGTATCTTTAAAGCAACGACCGCTGACAGAAGTTTGGGCGGTCGCTACTGAGGTTTAGAAGAGCTGCAGGGGAAACAAATCATGAGGAAGTCAACAACCACTTTTTAGAGGCAGAGCAGAGAAAAAGGCAACTCCAAACAAAGTTTTCACAGAAAACATAAGAGAAGGGATGAAAATAGAGAGGCAGCAGTGCTGAAGCAGCCAGAACAGAGTCTTCCAAGAGACTTCCCAGCCCAAGGGAAGAGCTGAAGGGCTTGCTCCCTCTACTGGAGCACCTTGACAGAACCACAGGAGAGGCCACTTTTAAAGTCCATACCAAATCTCTCGGACTAGGAAATAAGGATTAATACAGGGTTGATTATCATTGCTGGGTTACTACCACAAGGATTTTTTAAAGGACTGAATATGTACTTGAATACGCAGATGAAGGCAGAA